GTTAGTTTCTGTTTAATGTGCTCTTCTTTGGCCTTCAAGGCCTCAATAGTAAAATTGGTCTGTCTCACCCGTTCATTCAGCAGCTGGGTTTGTGCCTTCTGAAGGATCTTGCTTGCCCGGTGCCCACTGACCGAAGATTTTAGTTCCAGGCTCTTGGGAATGATGCCACTTTGTCGACATCTGAGGTTGAATCGCAAATGGTTCCTGTAGTCTGCCCTCTTCCTTGCTGTTTTCTCAAACTCTCTAACTAGTTTGAGGCAATCCTGGCCAAAGTGGTTCAAAATATCCTGATGCATGCTCAATAATCCAGGTAGAAAAATCTAAAAAAGTTAAATCTGGTCCTCTGGACATTCAAAAAAACAAAACAAAGCAAATCAACAAAAAAATGTAGAAACGTTTCGTCTCTCATCCAAGAGACTTCCTCAGTCTGAGGAGCTGTATTCAGCTCAGTCTCTTAAATAGCACCGTCTCAGGGTGGATCAACCAGTTTTGCTGCTGACAACCAAAACCAGCTGCTCACATGGTCAAGAAGCACCATCAGCCTAACGATGGATCATTAGCACACTGATGGCTGTTTACTATACAGGAGGCTGAGTGATACTAGCAATAGGGGTGCAGAAAAAAATAGATTTTTCGATGAATCTAGATTCTTAGTCCTGGCGATTCTGAATCATTTCTAAGGTTGTTTTCACACCTGAAAGTCCGGTAGACTCGGTTCGGTTGGGGACCAATATTCATGACATTTTGTTTACATTTGAGCTGGTGCATTTGCATTCACAATGCACTGTGCAGTCGAGCCAACCTGTTGAACCAACCTGTTCCCCCGCTCGCCTGTGGGGGCGCTGCACCAAGAACTACTGAAAGAAGCAACACAAAAACCTCTGAAAACACTTCTTCTGGAAATAAAAACAAAAACGGAGTGGCATCAAATTTTAGCAGTTTTAGGAATTATATTTTGTCATTTTTCAAAAATGGACTCAGCATGAGCAGAAGATGAGGCAGAAGACCATGGAGAATATTGTTTTTCACAGAAGGCAGCTGACAGCTCCATATGAGGTAAGAGAAATGCGTGTTTGTTTGTCCTGCGCTGTACTCCACTTCTTGCTTGTGGAGCGGGCCCAGACTGTTTACATTCACACTGTACTCGAACCGTGCTGGAGTTCTCTTCTACCGGACCGAGACCTAGGTTTTAGCCCGGGCCAGAGTTCGCCTTCTTGTTCCGTGACAGAGTTCAATGGCGCGTTAACACCTCCCCAAACGAATCTGACTTTCTAGGAAAACGAGCTAGAGTTCGATTAAAGCAGACTAAACAGGGCTGGTGTGAATGCACCCTAAAGGTCCATAAATCGATTTTAAAATGTATTTAAGTTTTATATTTTTTCCGCTCCTACTCCCCGTTCGGCCACTGTAGAATTGAGCCGTGTAGGCCACCGTACAGCAAGCTAGTTAGCCAGCTCCCTTTATCTGAATGGAGCCTGCTAGCATGGAGGGAGACAGCGCGATTCAACCCGCTGTTTCGTCTTTAAAAATCATTTCGGATCCTACAATGTTCCAGGGGAAGACAGAGCTTCACAAGAGCACAGATGTTTACAAGAAGTGTAAAATAAAATTGCGGTACAGTATTTTGGAAATACGACAAAATTCATGGAAGATGAAAGTGAAGTGTGAAAAAATTAATAAACTAACACGTATCGTTTAAATATTGTTTAAAATCCATGTTTATTCTGCAGATTTTTAAAGTTGATGTGTAAAATGTGAACTTTGGTGAACCTCCTCAGTTGATGTGTAAATGTGAACTTTTGTAAACTTCTCAAAGCCTCGTGCTCAGCAAAACGTCCTTGTATTCACCACCTGCGCTGAGAACGTTTTTTCGTATCAAACTGTTTTTCCTTTATCAGAATATCCTAGCCACATGAACAAAAACTTGTTACAAATCTAATTAAAAAATACCAGCTCCACAAATGTTCATCAGAATGTTCTAGTCACATGGACAGAAGACTGGTTACAAAGCACTGGCTCAACAAGAAGAATAACATCTCGTGCTGATAACAAAGAACCTGTGTGTGATATCAGCATGAGAAACTTTATCCTCCTTCATGATAAAATGTTATTGTGACGCACGAAACATGTATAAAAATATGTACTGTCTCTTTAAGAATCCAGTGTTCATTCTGACTTCGTTCAGGTGAGCATCTCCTTTCTGCAGAAAGAATAAACCTCGCGCTCAGGTTTATTTTTAATACGATGGACCCAATGTACTTTATTCCTTCATGTAATTTTTTTTGCAATAAAGCAGCACCACAACTTCACCATGAAACAACAAATGGGAGAAGCTCTGATGCAGCTGCAGCTCAAAGGTAACTGTTATTTCTCATATTATACTAAAACTTATAGACAAGTTGTACAACAAACGTTGGTTACGTACTGTAACCCCAGATTCTGAGTATAGGCGTAGCCCTTTAAGAGCTGTCGCTGGTGGGTTTTATCCTGTCATGCAAAGCATCGCACTGAAAAAATTTAGTCCACGCCCACCTGCTGTGTGGGCCCCACCCGGTCCGTATAAATTACGTTAAGAGCGGGTAATCGGCTCCCAAATAGCTTTTTCTTCAGCCATTTAGGAGCCAGTGAGGCCCGACGCTTAAAGGGCTACGCCTATACTCATAGAATCTGGGGTTACAGTACGTAACCAACGTTCTATTTCGTATAGGCTTCGCCCTTTAAGGCTTTCGCTGGTGGGTTAAGGGCGAAGCAGATGTAGTCTCTGCCTCACTGGGTCAATTTGAACACCATAAGAAGCGCCCGCTTGCCCAAAAACAACATCTTGTCACTCAGCTCTCCATGTGCGTAAATACACATTGCGTAACTACGCGCACCATGCACAGATGCGCAATGCGTAATTTACGCGTTCCGAGTGCATGAACGCCCCGGAAAGGTTTTCAACAGAAAATAGGAGAGGCTGAACAAGGCCGTGAACAGAGCAGATCCACGGCTCTTCAATATGAACAGATTAATAATAAATTAACTGATTATTAATCAATGAACTGATTGATGACAGCAGTCATGAACTGATTAATAATCATAGAAGAAGAACAACAGTCATAACCTGTGACTGATAACAACATCTCAAACTAATGCATGCAGTCAGATGCGAGTTTAAATGAGATTCCATGAAACAACAATATTCATTCTGTTAAGGCACTAGGGGTGCGAATCGCTTAGTGTCTGACGATTTGATTCCTATTTTTGATGTCACGATCCGATTTTAAATCGATTTTTCGATTCGGAAACGATTTTTGATTCAGAAACGATTTTTCTATTGAAATGGTCATACATTTTGTTTCTATTACGTAGCTGACAAGCTGAAAAGATTAAACAACAATGTAAACCAATAGACCATTTAAAAATC